CTGGCCAGGTATGGGGGCGGATATTAGAGCTTTTAGTAGAAGCTGTGATCAGTGCCCACGTATGTCCGCTAAGAGTAGAGTCCGTCATGTTCCACTTAAACCCTTACCCGTCATTGTAGAACCATGTTCTCGGGTAGTCATAGATTTTGTTGGACGATTCTCACCCCCCTTCCTCTAAGAAGCCTAAATTACATCAAGCTAATCTGTTAAGGCAATATAATTGCAGGACCCACATTGCTCGTATCCTTGACGACGTCCCCAAGCTGGAGTTAGTCGAGACACTACCCTGCAAGAGCTCCTGTGAAGTTCGGGCGCCAGACTCTGATGATCTCGGTTGCCAGTTGCTGACAACACCTGACGAGATAGAAGAATCCTCTACGACTGGAAATAGGCCCAAACTTAAACCTGGACTGAAGTGGACCCCATGTGCAGTTCCTTGATACGGCCTTAAGTTTTGGACATCAAGTTACCGCCTATTCTTTTATGAGACCCTTCTTTATTGTGCAATGTGTATTTAAGCATTTGTTGTAAGATGATTATGCTTTGTGTACTAATCTTAAGTTTTAATCTACCTTACAGTAGATTTTTGTTGGGGAAGCTGTGTAAGGGCGGAAACGATCTTCCTGCTCGTTACCGCTGCTAACTCTCTCGTTTGCTGGTGCGACCAACACTTGGGGGAGGTTGGACAGAGGTGAGAACGGCAGCGGCTACCTGTGTCACCGGCAGATTCACCCCAGCCGCCATAGTCACTATCTAGCTACCCCGCTGTTCGTCAAATTCTGGCTGTGATCTCATCATAGGTCCTGGACTCATGGGCTGTTTTCCCAGACCTTCACCTATCGACTGTCATTTCTCTGGACATCAACCACTACCGCAGCTGCCACGACTGCCAGCTCCTCTCCACTGTCTGTGCCCTGGTGTTGCGTCGGCTGTCGCTCGAGTGTGGAGTTGAATGGACGCTTCCCTACCCTGAGTGTGGATCATCGTGTTCCAGAACCTTCCCCCAGGGCCACTGCCGTAGCAAATATCTGTTCATTGTTTGATTCCCATTAATTGTTTGCTCCCTTTAATTGTTTGCTTCCATTAATTGTTTGATTCCATTAACTGTTGACTTCCTTAATTGTTTGACTCCCGTAATTATTATTTGATGTTTGTTGAGTGGTGTCAGAGTTTTGTGTTATATTTTTTATAGTAAAGAGATGTCAATCTCAAACGGTTGTTTGCTATTCCTCAGAAAACCATGGTCCTTGACTTTCCTTTATTAAGAACCTGATTAGTCTGGTAAAGGATTTCTATCCCTAATTCCCAGGCCTTTACAATGAATAAAGTTACATATATCTAGCCAAAAATATTAGTTGAAAAACTTTATGGAGACAGAGCTTCAATGGCTAAATTTTAGATTGACCAATAATTTTAATATAAAAAATGCAAAAATATTCAAGAACACAACTTTCTTGATATTTACTCCACTGGAAACGAATGTAAACATAGAACCGATTACTGTATTGGAGGACTAGCTGATCAGCTGATGCACATAACAAAGTGTGTTTCTCCTAAGGCTTTCAATCGAAGTTTTGTTCGTTAATGTAACTGAAAATCCTTATGGGAGCTAATTCGTTAACCGAAATTTCATTAATTGAACCATTCGTTAATCGAGGGACCACTGTATATTAATTTTATCAAACTTTTAGATAAACTATTCTTGATTATCATAGTAAAGAAATGGAGTTTCTAGCTTAATTAGAACTGCATTTACGGACTCCGGTAGTTTAGACTCAAGGAAAACATCCCCAGCACCCAGAAACATTCTGGGGAAGTGGACTAGTGTCTGTGTGTGCAAGATGTCTAGTTTAGACACTCGGAAACTTTTCCAAGTACAGTAACCGGAAAAGATTCCGGGGATAAGGAATTTTTCCGGGTTTGAGAAAGTCGTCTGGTTAGCCGGAAATCTCTCATCCCCGGAAGTGCTCTGCACCAATTGTTCCGGCTAATGGGGATATCACTGTTACTGTATATTACTGTACCATTAAAGCAGTGAAAAGACATAAATTCAGTAAGTGTGAAAGTACTTGTACAGTATACAGTAGTACCCCGCTTAATGCGGTCAATAAAACCCACAGGGTACCGTGTTAAGTGAAAACAGCGCTAAGTGAACAACAGAACATATGCGATTAATTCCAATAGAAACTGGCCCGACCCCCAAACTCCACTTTTTCCGACACAATACCTATGTTCTAGTAAAAATAACATCTTAATTTTATGATGGTACATGCACACAATTAATACTTTAAGAGAAATAGAGAAATACAGTCGCCAAGTTAATGTCCATTCAAATAATGGACTCAACTCCCTCCCCCTCTTCTCACACTACACTGCTGGCTCTTCCCTCTCTGAGAAATTTTGGGGGGAAAACCACTAAATTTTAATAAATAATACCTCAAACGAAAGTTAGGATCATACAATTGACATTGCTGGATTCCTTGTAAGACCAGGAATATTTTGAATATAAATGTCATATATTTTGCACAAAAGATAACATATTTACTCAGAGTAAACATTATATCTAAAATTTGTATGTCTAATGCAAAATCTATGATGTTTATATTCAAAATGATCACCAAATTGTAAGAATTCCAGCAATGTAAATTATATTCTGGCCGGGTAATTTGTATGAATTTTATGAGCTAAAACAAATATCTTCAGTTAATAAAAAAAAAAATATTCTTCAAGACACTATCTGTCAATCAAAGTACCCCACCTTGCCTCCCCCCTCTTCCAACCGCGTGGTCCGTCCCAACCATCCCCCCCCACCCCCCACCAATCCTCCCTTCAAGAGATGTTGGGTGAAAAAACTAAATTTTAACATTTTGTATTAAATAATACCTCAGATTAAAGTTAGGATAATATAATTGACATTGCTGGATTCCTTGTAAGACCAGGAATATTTTGAATATAAATGTCATATATTTTGCACAAAAGATAACATATTTACTCAGAGTAAACATTATATCTAAAATTTGTATGTCTAATGCAAAATCTATGATGTTTATATTCAAAATGATCATCAAATTGTAAGAATTCCAGCAATGTAAATTATATTCTGACCGGGTAATTTGTATGAATTTTATGAGCTAAAACAAATATCTTCAGTTAATAAAAAAAAAAATATTCTTCACACGGTAACAGATGGTCGGTCGGTCCCTCCCTCCCCCCCACCCCCCACCAACCCTCCCTACCAGATGTGTGGGAAAACCAGAATATTTACCTTTTTAGTAATAAATAATACCTCAAACTAAAGTGAGGATAATATAATTGACATTGCTGGATTCCTTGTAAGACCAGGAATATTTTGAATACAAATGTCATATATTTTGCACAAAAAATAACATATTTACTCAGAGTAAACATTATATCTAAAATTTGTATGTCTAATGCAAAATCTATGATGTTTATATTCAAAATGATCACCAAATTATAAGAATTCCAGCAATGTAAATTATATTCTGACCGGGTAATTTGTATGAATTTTATGAGCTAAAACAAATATCTTCAGTTAATAAAAAAAAAAAATATTCTTCACACGGTAACAGATGGTCGGTCGGTCCCTCCCTCCCCCCCACCCCCCACCAACCGTCCCTACCAGATGTGTGGGAAAACCAGAATATTTACCTTTTTAGTAATAAATAATACCTCAAACTAAAGTTAGGATAATATAATTGACATTGCTGGATTCCTTGTAAGACCAGGAATATTTTGAATACAAATGTCATATATTTTGCATAAAAAATAACATATTTACTCAGAGTAAACATTATATCTAAAATTTGTATGTCTAATGCAAAATCTATGATGTTTATATTCAAAATGATCAATCATATTGTAAGAATTCTAGCAATGTAAATTATATTCTGGCCGGGTAATTTGTATGAATTTTATGAGCTAAAACAGGCAGGCAGGCAGTCAGGCAGGGTGGCAGGTGGGGGGAATCTAAAAATAGCTCTCGAGCCGGACACTCTGCGGGTATACGTGGAAAAAAACCCGCGTTAAGTGAAAGTTCAGCTCTGGCGAGGCACCGCGTATACGTGAAATCGCGCTAAGCGAAACCGTGTTAAGCGGGGTATTACTGTACTGTACTTAGCAGACTGAACAATACAGTATATGGTAGTGTGTAAAGGGTGTATATACAGTATACAGTGCATGTACAATCCTTAATTCATGGAGGGAGAAGAGAGTGACAGTTAACAACACTTGCTACAGTAGATGGTACAAGGCAAAGGCAGGCCATCCTTTATTGTCATATCACAAGATCAAGACAACAGCATCTGCTGGTGAGTACAGTATAGTGTATACAGTAGTGCATTTTGTTTACTTACAATATATTGTACGTGCACAGTGGTATTTGCATAAATAAATACAGCCCTGTATCTGTCCATGCAATATGCATGTTTACTCTCAAAAAACTTTTCCAGCATCCAGACACATTCCAGGGATGTATGATAGTGTCTGTTCATTTGAGATGTGTAGTTAACTCTCAGAAAACTTACCCTAAAACCTGGGAAAATTCTGGGATGTGCGATTTTTCCCATGGATGATAAATTCATCTCCATACCTAGATATATCTCATTCCCAGAAGGGCTCTGCACCATTTATTCCAGCTAACAGGGATATCATGTACAGTATAGGCATTTGGTGTGTTCCAAGTTTCCAGCTTCCCTACATACAGTATACAGGGTATGTCATTTTTGGGTACCCTGTATTAAATACAATACAATACAGTACAGTACAGTACAGTATGGTATGGTATAGTACTGTATAAATATTGAACTACAGTACAGCATTATGACAAACCAAATGCTTAAGGACCCTAACAGAAATAGTACAGTGAAAAGGAAAGTACACACTTTCATTCTAAGGCTACAAATGGCTAAATTTTAAGTTGTGCCATGATATCAATACAGACTCGATGAGATAATCAGTAAAATAAAAAATTCTATACCCACCTTGGAGCACGTCCATGATCTGCCAAAATGCGATTATCTCTGCCAAGATTTCTAGTGTGGATTCGTGAGATCTCCATATTGATTTCTTCCAAAAGGGCTGACCAACCACCTGCTAAGAAGCGACCACGGTGACGAGAATATCCACCAAGTTGTTCATCTGCACCCATACCACACAAGAGAACCTTTGTATGGCAATACAAAATATTTTGTAAAGCAGAGATAAAGATATACAGTACAGGTTGACAATCCCTTATCCGAAATCCTTGGGACCAGATGCATTTCGGTTTTTGGAATTTTTCAGATTTCAGAATGGTTAGTTTTTTTTTTTTTTTTTTTTACAGGGATCAGCCCACCCGGGCACAGCAGGTCACTGACTCACATTGGGGCCTGGGGGCTAAAATATAATGCAAATAATAATTATAATAATAATAATAATAATAATAATAATAATAATAATAATAATAATAATAATAATAATAATAATAATAATAATAATTCATAGATCTCGGTCATGTTTCTCACTTTTGATCTTTTTTTTCATTCTTGTATTTCTTTATTATTATTATTATTATTATTTCATTATTACAGTATTATTGTTATTATTATTATTATTATTATTATTATTATTATTATTGTTATCATTCTTATTTTATTTTTGTGTATTTTTTATTAAAAATTTTATTTATTATGAATAATTATTATTATTACTGTATTATTATTATTATTATTATTATTATTATTATTATTATTATTATTACCTGTATTATTATAATTATTATTACTATTATTATAATTATTATTACTATTACATTTTCACCCCCCAGGCCCTGATGTGGGTCAGTGACATGTGCCCGGGTGGACTAATACCCGTGTAAAAAAAAAAATTTGCTCCAATTTTTTTTTTCGGTTTTCAGAATTTCAGATAAAGGGTTTTCAACCTGTATAACATAATCCATTTGTGTATATGCATTTATATCTCTCTGCAGTATTTTTATTTAGAGATCTGCAAAGCATTAAATTTAAGATGAACACTGAGGAAAGAAATTATTTGGGAGAAAAAAAATAAAAATTAACCATTAGCTGCAACTATCCAGTCAACACAGTATTTATGAGTAAACCCTACAAAAAAGTCACACTGCACAGTACTACAAAGTACAGACTGTGTAAGTCAATTATGAATCAAGTCACCCAATGGGTTATCAAGATAATACAGTGTACTTTATCTGGAAGCAATGACTGGAAAAAGCCAGTCTTCAAATTCATTACAGCAGGACAGGGCGACCACCCTTAACCTCGAGGATACACTACTAGTACAGTATATGTACTATATATCATGCTAATACGTAGCAGGTAGTAGGCAGCTATCAAACAGGGAGGTACTACCGCCTGGGACGATATTGGAAGCATGTGTTGTCTAATGGTAGACCCTGCTGCCATATGGCATCACGAAAATTGTGACCAAGTCCCAGGTTGCTTATCTGACTTTCTGCCTCATTTACACACAATTGCAGGGTCTCAATTGTTTCTCTTACTATTGACAACACAACATACATACAGGTACATGTACAGTATATTGTTTCTCACGCTTGATCTTTTTTCATTTTGTATAATTTATGGTTCTTTATTATTATTATTATTATTATTATTATTATTATTATTATTATTATTATTATTATTATTATTATTATTACTACTGTATTATTATTATTATTAATACATTTTCGCCCCCCAGGCCCCGATGTGGGTCAGTGACCTGTGCCCAGGTGGGCTAATCCCCATAAAAAAAAACAAAAAAAAACACGCATTGCTACCGTCATCCCTTGCCCTAGAGCAAGCAGTAAACAAATGTCAACTCTCGAGGGGTGGAGATGGGTGGGATGTCGAAATCGCATTCTGGACTTTACCACAAAAACTGGTTTTTAGAAAGAAAAAAACGGCTCTTTGTTCAATCCAGAATGCGACGTCTAGCTTTGAATACCTGAGCAGGAGGTGGAAAGGGAGGTGACATTGCGTATAAGGCTCCGCTAGATTAGGTCCAGATTAAGTTTTTGGAATATTTTCCAATACAGTGGTCCCTCGGTTAACGAAATTTCGGTTAACGAATTACCTACCATAAGAAACTTCAATTCGGTTAACGAAAAAAAATTTGATTAATAAAATCCTTACAAAAATCACGTTTTGTTTTGAACATCAGCTGATAAGCTGAGGAGGTACTCAGCCAATTCAGTAATCTCTTCTATGTTTACATTCGTTTCCATTGGAAAAAATATCATAAAAATTGTGCTCTTTAATATTTGTGCATTTATTTATACAGTATTAAAATTACTGGTCATTCTAAAATTTAGCCATCCAAGCTCTGTCTACATAAAGTTTTTCAACTATTATTGGCTCATATATGTAACTTTATTCATTTATTGAAACTCATTTACATGCACACACTGTCCTGAGGGCAAAGCTGAACTGTACATGTAATCAGAATAATGTACAAAATGATTACTAAAATTTTTGTCTAGTGCAAACTATGGCATGTTTACATTCAAATTAATCACTATCTTATAAGAATTCCAGCAATGCAAATTAAATTCACCCCGGTCACTTCTATTAAATTTTATAAGCAAAAAACAAAAACTCAATCTAAAGGACATAAATGAACAATTAAATACTTCACACCACAGGCATCAACTGTCAAACATGTCACTGTCACCCCTCCCTCTCTCCCTCCCTACCCCCCACCTTCCAAAGAAAGGTTTGGGGGTTTTCAGAAGGCTTTAAGTTTTAATCATATATAATATATCAGACTAAAGTTAGGAGAATATAATTGACATTGCTGGAATCCTTGCAAGACAGCGAATAATATGAATACAGTTGTACCCCGCTTTACGCGGTCAATTGAACCCACAGGGTACCGCGTTAAGTGAACAACAGAACATATGGGATTAATTCCAATAGAGACTGGCCCGACCCCCAAACTCTACTTTTTCCGACACAATACCTATGTTCTAGTAAAAATAACATCATAATTTTATGATGGTACATGCACACAATTAATACTTAAGAGAAATAGAGAAATACAGTCACCAAGTTAATGTCCATTCAAATAATGGACTCAACTCCCTCCCCCTCTTCCCTCTCTGAGAAATTTTGGGGGGAACCACTAGATTTTAATAAATAATACCTCAAACTAAAGTTAGGATAATATAATTGACATTGCTGGATTCCTTGTAAGACCAGGAATATTTTGAATATAAATGTCATATATTTTGCACAAAAGATAACACATTTACTAAGAGTAAACATTGTATCTAAAATTTGTATGTCTAATGCAAAATCTATGATGTTTATATTCAAAATGATCATCAAATTGTAAGAATTCCAGCAATGTAAATTATATTCTGGCCGGGTAATTTGTATGAATTTTATAAGCTAAAACAAATATCTTCAGTTAATAAAAAAAAAAATATTCTTCACGACACTATCTGTCAATCAAAGTACCCCACCTTGCCTCCCCCCTCTTCCAACCGCGCCAGATGGTCGGTCCGCCCCAACCCTCCCTACCAGATGTGTGGGAAAACCAGAATATTTATCTTTTTAGTAATAAATAATACCTCAAACTAAAGTTAGGATAATATAATTGACATTGCTAGATTCCTTGTAAGACCAGGAATATTTTGAATATAAATGTCATAAATTTTGAACAAAAGATAACATATTTACTCAGAGTAAACATTATATCTAAAATTTGTATGTCTAATGCAAAAACTATGATGTTTATATTCAAAATGATCATCATATTGTAAGAATTCCAGCAATGTAAATTATATTCTGGCAGGGTAATTTGTATGAATTTTATGAGCTAAAAAAAAAAAAAATATATTATACTTCACCGCAGATATGAGTAGATGAACCACGTTAAGTGAAAGTTCGGTTCTGGTGAGGCACCGCGTATATGAGAAATCGCGTTAAGTAAAACCGCGTAAAGAGGGGTAATACTGTATAAGCGTCATATATTTTGCACAAAAGATAAAAAAATTTTCTCTCGAATAAAATTCTGAAATTAGATCTAAAATTTGTATTTCTAATGTTCATATTCAAATTAATCACTATCTTATAAGAATTCCAGCAATGTAAATTATATTCTGGCCGGGTAATTTCTATGAATTTTATGAGCTAAAAACAAATATCTTCAGTAAATAAACAAATTATACTTCACCCAGGCACAATACGTTACGTACGTTGTAGTAAAAATAACATCTTAATTTTATGATGGTATGAACACACAATTAATATTTAAGAGAAATATCAATAACATTAGGTTTTTTAACACTTACTTAGCAAAAGAGATGGCAGGGTACATGGAGATTGGGGTTGGTTCTGAGGCAGAGGGCAGATTATTGGCCCTCACCTGTATCACTTGTATCACTAGCCACAACAGAGGCTTGCAGGGCCTCTTTGTCAAACCTCTCAAAGTCCATATCCTCACTATCACTATCACTGACTTGGGCCGGCTGTGGTGGGTGGCGGGTGAAGAACTCGGTAATGTTTTGTTGACTGGGTGACCTTGTGCGCACTCTGCCCATGATGTAATGAACCGCGTAAATAAAAATTGTAGGTCTGGCAAGGTGCTGTGTAAATGACCACGTCCGTGCCCCCCCCCCCTCCCAGAAAAAAAACTTCCGTGACGTCTGCTGGACCACCACTCCATGACCCCCTGACGGAGACACGATGATCCTTCCCATACTGGCCAGATATTATGTGTGAAAGGAATATCCTTCCTTAGTAAGCATTTGCCTCCAGGTGTAATGTTAATCTACATCTATTGAGGATAAAATCTTTCACCTACAAATTGACAATAACACATTTGCTGTAATCAGACATATCTAGTTGCCTCAACAATTGCAACCCCCCGTTGCAATTGGGGTTGCAATTTCAAATTCTGTGTCATTACTAAGGAATAACGAAGAGTCTGGTGCACTCTAAGATTAAGAGAGAAAACGGAGGACTCAGGCATCCTGACCGAGAGAAAACGGACTCCTATGATGGGGGACACAAGCACTCACACGTGCCACACATACTGACAGACTTGACACTCACTTACTTGACAAGTTTTACCAACCATTAGTTGTGTACGTTATCTAGTGAATTTAGTCAATATTGTACAGTACAAGTACACAGCAATACAGTGGTCCCTCGGTTAACAATGGACCTAAGTGCAAACCTGTACTGTACATGTACTAAATAATTATGGTACTAAAATTGTTATGTCTATTGCAAATATAGATTGTTTATAGAGGTATTCAAATAAATC